AGGAGGAGGAGGAGGAGGAGGAGGAGGAGGAGGAGGAGGAGCGAGGAGGATGGGAGGAGGAGGAGGAGGAGGAGGAGGAGGAGGAGGATAGGAGGAGGAGGAGGAGGAGGAGGAGGAGGAGGGAGGAGGAGGAGGAGGCGGAGGAGGAGGAGGAGGAGGAGGAGGAGGAGGAGGAGGAGGAGGAGGAGGAGGAGGAGGAGGAGAGGAGGAGGGAGGAGAGGAGGAGGCGGAGGAGGAGGAAGGAGGGAGGAGGAGGAGGAGGAGGAGGAGGAGGAGGAGGAGGAGGAGGAGGGCGGAGGAGGAGGAGTGAGGAGGAGGAGGAGGAGGAGGAGAGGAGGAGGGAGGAGGAGGAGGAGGAGAGGAGAGGAGGAGGAGGAGGAGAGGAAGGAGGAGGAGGAGGAGGAGGAGGAGAAAGGGCCTCCCTCCGCGTCGCTCGCGGCCTGCGCCTTGGGGGACCGTCTGGCTCACGCCCAGGGGGTAGGCCCTGCAGGTGCTAGTGTCCGATCAGCTTCTGCAGGCTACGGTCGAGCTACTATTAGAGGGGCCCAGGGACACACAAAGAAATGTACTCTTTTTGCGTGGGCGGCTGGGCAAAGGGCCTGCGCTGGCGAGTCAAGCGCAGCGGGGTGCGTTAGGCAAATTCAGCCACCATGCAGAGGGAGGGGAGGGAACGACGCGGCGCCAGCCCGAAGAGAGGGAAGAGGAGCCCGGCCCGCTCGGAGCACTCCGGGTGCGTGGCAGGGTCGGCGCCGGGGACCAGCAGCGGCAGCGGGGCTGGGGGGCTGGCGGCAGCAGGGGACAAATAAATACACACAAATCCCAGGATTCCCCACATTTCACCGTATCGTCTGGGTGCTCGTCTTCCCCCCCACTTCCCATATGTTCCCATACATTTTTTCTGGGAAGTCGACGATTCATTGTGTCTGTGTTTTTGCCCCCTCCTGACAAGTGTCAAATCAGCTGCTGCAGGCTATGGTCGAGTTCCTATAGAGTGGCCCAGGGACACACACACACACACACACACAAACGCACACACACACACACACACACACACACACACACACACACACACACACAAATGCCAGGAGTCCCGATATTTCCCACATTTGGGAGGAGTTCGTCCTCCCCCCAATTCCCCGATTGCCCCATATTTTCTTGGAAGTCGACGATTACTTGTGTCTGCGTTTTTTCCCCTACTGACAAGTGTCGAATCATCTTCTGCAAGCTATGGATGAATTACGAATCGTGGTTTCCACGTGTAACGCCGGGGGGGGACGGATCACCCTGCCCCCCCCCGCACTGGGAAGAGTCCCATCTGGGCATTTCCGCCCCGTCCGTGCTCTTGCTGCCTCGCCTGTTTCGTACATCACCTCGTTTCATCAGTGCGAATTTGCACGCTGCCCCCTCTGCCACCGCTGCCACCGCCCCCTTCCCGCCCCCCTGCTGTCCGAGAGCGCGTAGCCGCCAATCGGGCCGAAGCGCTGCGCAGACGGAGGCTCAGGGTGGAGGAGACCAAGCACGAAGAGATCGAGGCCGGGCGCCTCCCCCTCCGCGCTTGACGCACTTTTTGCCAGCCCTCCCCCTCCCCCCCTGGGAGCACGAGCGGCGGCTCGTGCAAACCGACCTGCATCGCTGGTTCCGAACCGCCACCGCGGGACAGAGGACGTGGGGGAGGTAGGTTAGGGGGTCTCGTCACATCACCGGGCACTGAAGGACTGGCAGCCATTCTTCGCCGCTTATCCTTGCTTCGCCTGTCTTCATGAATATGTCTCTATATTTCTCTCTCTCTCTCCCCCTTTCTCTCTCTCTCTCTCTGGCGTTAGTCCCCCTTCGGGGACCCGTCGAGGGGGGTGGAGGTCAGCGAGACCGTCCTGGCGCAGCAGCACCCCGGGGCCAAGCCGGCCTCCCCCCATGACTTCCCCCTGGCCGATTCGGCTCGAGTCGACCTGGCCAACGATGGGGCGCAGGCTAACTAGGATGCTTGCACCCTCTCGGCAGGGCTCAGATGACTGCGCCACTCGAAGTCCGCGACCGACCGATCGACCTGGTCATCCTGTTCATCCTGCTCCCTCCGCTCCAGCTCCTGCTACTGCTACTCGTCCTCGTCTTCGTCCTCCTCCTCCTCCTTTTTTTTCTCCTCCTTTCTCGTCCTCATCCTTTTCTTCCTACTCATCATCCTGCTCACCGCCACCTCCTCCAATGTACGCAGCTCCCCTTTTTTTTCCGATTGCGCATGGCACGACGGGGGTCCTCCTTGGAGCTCCAGGCCTGCTATGACACGCGTCCGCGGACATAGAAAATAAGTCAGCGCAGTGGGAAGGGATGCGTAGGAAGGGTAGGATGTCAGATACATGGCGCGAGCGCACCAAGCTTGTCCTTCCCCCCTCCACCCTCAACCCTCCCCTCCTGAAGTACAGATGCTTTCTCATTCCGTTCTCGATAAGCATGAACCGTAGACTGCCAACTGCTGCCTAGTTTTTCGCAGAGCGCCAAAACAGCTGCGCGGCTGCGCGGCCGCGGCCGCGGCTGCGTCTGCGGCTGCGGAGCTCTACGAGCTCCCCGGTGGCAACCAGGTGTCAACCTTGCGGCCCTCCCTCCCCCGAAGTGGGGACGGCCCCTGGCGGCGCCGCGGAGCTCGACGCCTCCTCCCGCCGAGCCGACCCGATCCCATCCTCCTACGCCCTCCCCGCGCGGCCGGGAGGCGGGGCCCGGCGGGCCTGCAGAGCCAGCGGGCCGGGGGCGATGATGGTGGACCGATATGTTTCACCACGACTACCATAGGTAGGAGAGGGAGGAGAAGAGGAGGAGGAGAAGGCGGAGGAGGAGGAGGAAGAGGAGGAGGAAGATAAGGAGGAGGAGGAGGAGGAGGAGGAGGAGGAGGAGGAGGAGGAGCGCAGCGCCTCTCGAGCATCTCCCGCCGGCCGCGCTGGCGCGCGCCCGACGGACTACGCCGAGGCGCCCTCACGCCACGATGGCGGAGAGGGCAAGGTTGAAGAAAGTGTGGAGGAAGACCCACTCGCAGAGGAAGAGGGTCAGGGGCGCGTCGACGAGGAGCGCCAGTATGAAGTAGGAAAGCAACACGGAGCCGCAGGCGAAGCCAGTGACGGGGAGGACGTAGAAGCCCGCCCTCCTTCGCGTGCCCCACAAACCCGAAGCATCGCTCAACCAATAAGGGAACACCGAGGGACAGCAAGCACCTCATACCGGAGAAAGATGCTGCCACTCGCTCCGTGGATGGAAGGTCATGGAGCAACCTGCAAACGGGCACGGGGGGTCCTAGTCGACAAGAGCACCATATTCCTCCGTATGGCCGAAGCCTCCCACCATGAAGCCGACGCTGCGCACTGTGCCGCACAGGCCCAAGGGCATGGTGGAGAGGCGAGGGGGGCCACGCCGCTTGCCAGGACCAGATGTCACCAAACGGCCACTGACTTTGGCCCTCATGCCAGTGTGTAAAGTCCTGGTAGCGGCAATTGAACCGCGAGCCTCACTATGGGTTCGGCTCACGGTCATCGCCCCGCTAGCGTCGCCATGGGCTCGGCTAGCTGGGGGCGGTTTTTCATATTGCCTTTGACTGTCAGCACTGGCATCGCCTCGACCAGTGAGACTGCACGAACTGTCGTGGACCTCGTCGACCTCCACACGATGAGCCTCGGAGTTCGCGTCAGCCGTCACCCCGAACGGATTCCAGGTGCTTCCAGCAGTGGTGCCGCCCGACCCCTGCCCCGTGACCCGAGCGCTCACGGGAGCACAGGCAGGCGGCCGTGCGGCAGGCCTAGTCGGCAAGACCGCCGACTCAGGCGTGGCCCTCGGAGTGAACACGCCCTAGAGGTCGATCGGCATGGCATTCGAAACGGGTTCCACATTGGCGGTTGCATCATGGACGCACGCCCTTTCAGTCCTCACGCCAGCCGCGGGCCCGAATACGCCAGTGAACAAACCGGTGACCTTCGACTCGTACCTCGTCTCTGGGATGTCTGCGGCGGTTGCGCCATGGGCGCACGCTCTTTCGGTCAAGCTCGCGTCAACACGCAGTGGTGGGGGGCCCGCAGAGAAGGACGCATCCATGTTTGAACCATCGCAGGGGACCTCGTGTGAAGATACAGCATCATCACACCTGGTCCCAGCAGCAAGGCTAGAGGCCACCGTGTGACTGGATTCAGAGACAGGGATCCGACGCTCATGGAGCGTGGATCGTTCGAGACTCCCTACCTCCTCAGGTTCAGGCGCCCCTTTCTCTCGCCGTCGGCGCCGAGGCGTACGCACAGAAGCTCGAAGGGCAGTGGAATGAGCGGCAGCTCGTTGGTGATAGGCACCTACACGTGGTGAGCGGGGACCGTCGACACAGAAGTGCAGTCCATCACGAACGGCGCGTTCAGCACCCGCCAGGTGCATGCAGAGCATAAGAGACGTCCGACGATTTTACTTGGGCACCTTGGGCAGCATCTGGAAGAAAGACGTCGCCGCCCCTGTCCTTCACAGAGCACTTACGAGCATGATCCTTTTTCAGTCACCGTGGCACGGAGGGGCGCACAGTGTGTGAACGTTTTTGGGCCCGTCTCGGTGGGTGCATCATGGACGCACGCACCTGCTCTCGCTCCCCGATCACGGACACGACGCTCATGGATCGTCGGCCCGTGTTGTCCTTCATACTCTTCTTTACTTGTAGGAGGAGAGGGGGTGGCTTGAGCGAAAGCTCGCTGATCATGGAGATCCGCTTCTGGTGGAGGATGATGAAATGGTAGGCCCGCCCCAGCACCACGCACATTCGATCCACCTGGAACACGCGCACCCTCAGGAAAGACACGTGCTCCTTGATGACCCGCTTCTGGAGGATCCGCAACTGGTGGAGGATCCGCTCCTGGTGGTACCTCCGCAGTTCGTGAAAGACCAGCGGGACGTGGAGGAGGAGGAGGAGGAGGAGGAGGAGGAGGAGGAGGAGGAGGAGGACCTCCCCATCCCGGCCTGCCTATGGTAGCGGTCGCGGAACACCGGCCCAC